AGGAGGCCGTAGCCGTCGGGGGAGCCGGGGGCGGCGTTGTTCTGGGTGGCCTGGTCGGCCACGGCCTTCCTTAGCTCGTTCAGGTCGTTCTTCAGCTTCTTGTTTTCTGACTCCAGCTCCTGCCTCTGGAAGATGGCCGAGCGACAGGCTCCGTCACTCCTGAGCCCACAGGGCTCTCCTCATGCGGGTCCCCCCTCCGCCTCCCTCACCCAACCTGCCCATCCTCCTGAGAAACTGAGAGCATCAGGGCATGATCCGGGGCTGTTCTGGGCAACGCAACGGTTCCCAGAGTTATGTGTGGTCCCATCACACTAACCGACCCTGGGAGATGGGATACGTCCCCAATTACGAGGCTCGGGGAACGGAAATGGGAGTGGGGCAGCTCTGATGCCCCTTTCTGCACACGCCCCCCTGCAGGGGGCCCACTCCCCCATCACAGCAGGAACGCAGGCCCCTGTGCCCTGGGCCTCTGGCCTCCCTCCCTCCACCTCCCCGCCTCTCCCGGGCCAGCACTGGACACAACAGGATCCCTGCCTCACATCTCTCCCTGAAAATCCTGATGGTTTGTTCAAAGTGGTTTTATCCCACCGGCCACATTTTATTAGAACTGAAACCGAATCCGGCAGGTAAGACATGTGTCCTTCGAAATGCATATTAATGCCCTAGCTGGATATTTAATTTGGCTCAGTGGATAGAGTGCCGGCCTGTGGACCCAAGGGTCCCAGGGGGTTCGATTCTGGTTAAGGGCATGTGTCTGGGTTGCCGGCTCAGTCCCCAGTGGGGGGCGTGCAGGAGGCTGCAAATTGGTGATTCTCTCTCATCATTGATGTTTCTATCTCTCTCCTTCTCCCTGCCTCTCTGAAGTCAACAAAAATATTTTTTTAAAAAAGAAAAAGGAAAGTGTATTGAGTCTCTGGCCCCAGTTCCTGGCACAGAGAGTCTAAAATTCTTTTGTCACATCCTGAGTGTGTATGCTAATGAGGTGACTCTTGGAGGATGGGGATTGGCTGCCAGAGGAGCCAACCTTGTGATTAGAAAGCCTCACCCACTGAAAGGAAGGGGGAGGGCCTGGAGATTCCTTAAATGCCAATAAACTCATCAATCGGGCCTATGTGATGGAAGCACCATGTAAACCTTAAATGATGGGGTGGAGAGCCTGGGGCTGTGAGCACATGAGGTGCTGGCAGGGCTGGGCCTACAGAGGCCGTGGAGGCGCCCATCTCCCCTCATACCAGTCCTCTGCCCCCTTCCATCTCCCCCTCATACCCATCTTCTGTCCCCTTCCATTGGCTACGGCTCCTTATGCGAAACCAGCAAAGGGCTTTCCTGGGTTCTGTGAGCTGTTCTCACAAATGACTGAACCTGGAAGGGGGTGCGGGGGGTGGGGGGCTGATTTGTAGGCGAGATGGACGGAAGCGTGGGCAACCTGGGAGCCGCAAATGTGATGGCGTCTAAAGTGGGGACAGCCCGGGGTCTGTGCGACTCAGGCAGTCAGGGCCAGAGAGGAGTTCAGTGGCAGGACACCTGGGCGTCCACAGAGACGTGGACAGTTGCTTGGTGTGGAAAACCCCAGGTTTGGGGTCAGAAGGAGGGAACAGTTTCCTGTTAACATATATGACAGCTCCTCGTAGTAAAAACAAAACTCCCTTCATTTCGAGGACATGGTGTGCGTACTGCCCTGCTTATCAGCAGCCTTATGGGAACCTCCCCGGTGGGAGTCTGAGCCTCACCTTCAGCGTATTGTAGGCGAGATCTGTGTCCTGGTCCAGGTCGATGTCGTTCTTTGGTGGCTCCACCTGCCCGGACAGAGGCAGAACGGTGAGCACAGACGCCCAGCTGTGGTCAAACTGCTGTTTCCCCCGCACACGTGTGCTCCCTTCCCACCTGCCACACGCAGCTCGCCACTTCAGGCCACCAGGAGGCGCTCCATAAGCATCTTCCCCAGCCCCCCAACTTTACTCCATGATGCTCACAGGCACCTGAATATGTGTAACACCCTGTTAGGAGTTCAGTGCCCCCAACAGCTGGATGAAATCCCAACCCCTATTGAATGTCACCTAGTCTGGAAACCAGGTCTTTGCAGATGTTACCCAGTTAAGATGCAGGCATAGGATGGGCCTCATCCACTAGGGCTGTCCTTTAAGGAAGGGAGGACAGACACATGCCAGGATGCCAGAGGTGAGCTGCCGCAGCTCAGACAGCGCGGAACAGGCTCCCCAAAGCCTCCAGGGAACACGGCCCGCGGACACCTTCATTCCTGACCTCCGGCCTCCAGACTCGAGACAGGAAGTTCCTGTTGTGGTGCTTTGTTTCGGCAGCCCCGGGAACCTAGCACTGTGAGACTCAGGTCCTTGTTCAAGAGGTTAATTAATGCATCATAATGATGTAATTATTAATGAGGTGAAACTCGAGCTACTCAGGTGAAGGGGGCGTGTGTGCACGTGTGTATTCTGTTTTCCCAGTTACATCTCTGAGCCCTTGGGGAGAAGCCCACTTCCTCATCCACCCCACAGCAGACAGGGTGGCAGGCGCCCCCTCCATCCCCCCCCACCCAGCTCAGCCAGTGCTGTGTGACACCAGGACGAGGAGCTGGTGGGTGTGGCCCAGGTGACTGCCAGGCCTGGGAGAGGGAGCCGGGCAGATGGGAAGGGGACAGTCTGGCTGGCTGTCGCCGAGGCCCCTCCTCAGGGCAGGCGCAGTCACTCCCACACGGAGGTACATCCCAGATGTCCCTGGCATCCCTTCTGCAAAGGCTGGGCTCTGTAGCTGAGACCCCGGCCATCTCTCTCCAGAACAAAGACCCTCAGGGTTCTGGGGACCCAGGGCAGGTCCAAGGGCACGTCCTCAGAAAGCCTGGTCTCGGGGCGCTGCAGAGGGATCCCTCACCCCCCACCCTTCCCCTGCCCCCCACCCCCTCTTACTAAGCCCCGTGGGAGACAAGGCCGCTCCCCTTGAAGAGAGACCCTCGGTGCATCCACAGGGCTATGGGCCACACCTTCAGCTCCGACACTTGCCGGGTCAAAGAGATGCCCTTTCCCATTTGGTATCCAGACAAACAAAAGATGTGAAGCCGGGATTTCAGAATGACGAGGCCTTTCCGTGGTGGGGACCGGGGAGCGAATCCTAGGGGCAGCCGGTGGCCGGAAACCTGCGTGCCAGGCACCGTCAGCGGCCGTCCGCGCAGCTTTGAATATATCTGATCTGCGCTCACCTGTCAGGGCAGCTTCGCTTCTAACTGAGCGAGTCATTTATAAACCTAATCTTTTCCCTTGTCATTCGGAACCCAGCGCCCGAGACATTTAAATCCATCAAGCAAGGTTTGCCTCCCCTCCCCGCTTACGGCTCAGGGAGCCCCAGGAATAAACTAGCATCGGTGACACATCCGATCGGGAAGGGAAGTCAGGTGTTGCAGAAGGAGACTGTGTAGCGGGAGTACCCATGTCGGAAACGGCCTTGCATCCCTTAGAGCAGCGGTTCTCAACCTGTGGGACATGACCCCTTTGGCAATCGAATGACCCTTTCATAGGGGTCGCCTAAGGCCATCCTGCATATCAGATATTTACATTACGATTCATAACAGTAGCAACATTACAGTTATGAAGTAGCAACGAAAATAATGTTATGGTTGGGTCACAACATGAGGAACTGTATTTAAAGGGCCAGAAGGTTGAGAACCACTGCCTTAGAGGGTCCCTATCCCTCCCCAGCAATAGCAGACGGCTCTCCCCCATGTCACCCTCAGCTCCCATCTGTACCCACCCGTAGTTACTTCAGCATGACAATGCTATTTCCTATTCTCCCTGCTTTACCCAATCCTCCCAAACAATTCCTCATGGCTGGGGCTTCCTCTTACACCTTTATCTCCTCTCACTCAGTGAACATTTCAAATATGCATTCAGGTGCCCAGCGGGGCCTTGTTTTGGAGCGAGTGGCATGTCTGGGGACGTTAAGGCTTCCAACAAGCCACTGAGATAACAGGGCTGTGGTGAGGGTGGTCGTGGGAAGGAGCGGGTGATGCAAGCTGGGCTGCCCGCCCAAGGGGGCTGGACGCAGCCGGGAAGGGGCACTCGATGTTCTCTGCTCTGACTTCACTTCTCGTATTTATACTTTAGCCACACACCCTGCTCCACTTCCCAAGTGGGTGACGAGGCCACAGTTCCCCACTGGCCTCGCCACTGGAACCCTTTGCCCTGGGGGCACTGTAACCCTTACTTCCGTCCAACGGGGGTGATGTGGGTGGCACACGTGCAATTATGACGTCAACACAAGACAGAGCTCCTCTCTGAGACCTGGCAGCAGCAGGGCCCACAGGGCAACACCCCACTGAGCCCGGGGAGCGCGCTCTGCGGCCGCAGCCTCCGCACCTGGACTTTCCTGCTGTCCTGCTGCTCTCTCCTCTCCAGCTGTGCCTGCAGCTTCCTCCGCTCCTGCTCCAGCTCCCGCACGCGCTTCTGCAGCTTCAGGAAGACCGTCATGTCCAGGGCCGCCTTCTCCAGGCCGGTTTCCTTCGGAGGAGGACGGGGCGGGGAAGAGGAGGCCTTAGGAGAAGTGCCCCAGGGGACGCACAGCACCTCACGGCTCGCTGTCCCCTCTCTCCTCCCAAACATCAGTCCATGTGTCGGGTACAAAGCCAGCCCCAACCGGCCGTCACTTCTCCTGTGAACATCGTGCTCCGGGCGCATTTCTGTCTGGGTAACATCTGAGTCTCAGCCATTTACATTCCTCCCGTGTGAGCCATGTAAGATGACCGACCATGTATCCCAGAACAAACAGATGAAGACACAGCCATTTCATCTGGAAGTTAAAAGAGCTCCCTCTGGAAAACAGTCTCATCCCAGAGGAACCGTAAAGCTTGGGACGTACGCTCCCTGATGGGGAACCAGTGTGGTTACCAATCACGGCAGGTGGGCTGCCACCCCCACAACTGTGCCTGGACCCGCCAGCAGGCGCCCTGCCCTGGACTCCCTGGGCATGTGCCCCGACCGGGAATCAAACTGTGACCTCCTGGTTCATAGGTCGACACTCAACCACTGAGCCACGCTGGCCGGGCTCTCCTATTCTTTACTCCATCACTCACTCTCGTATCCTTTATTTTTCCCGACAGCACTGTTGTGCCTGCAATTATATCACAGACTTCCTCCATCAGCTCATTGCCATCTATTCCCCATCAGACGAGCTTCGTGAGCCCGGGACCTTCTGCGCTCAGTCACCGCTGTTTCCCGAGCACCTGCCAGCAACACCCAGCACAGGAATGCTACACACACACACACACACACACACACACGCTGCTATAACCGCCCCTCCTCCACACCCACCTTCACCTACTCCCTATGGCTCATACGCTGTGGTTTTCTCCTTTTTAAAGGCCAGAGGAAAAACTGTGTCTTTGTACCTTTGACAAAATTACACACCGACCGATAAATCCACGGTGTGTACATTATGTAGCAATTCTAAGAGGCCATTACTGACAAAAATACAGTCAAAATGATTAGTATGTGTGGCCCTCCGAGTGTTATCCAGCCTCTGAGTCGGGGAGGAAAACGTTCTTGCGCATTCATGATACTACAGTGTGCACTGAGCGGGAACAATCAATTACACCCATTCCAATGGCTGAGCTGTTCCTTCTGTGTCACTTCACGTCTCTGCAGTCGCCCCTCAGCTTTGCAAGAGGCACCCGGCCCTACCTCCTTCCTTCCTTCCTGGAGGGCGGGCAAGGCGAACAGCAGTGTGGCCAACAGCCATGCACTGTTTTGCACGGCCTGCTCACTCCAGGGTATTGTCTGTACGTCCCCCCTGTGGGGCTCCCCCGCCTGGGCCTGCCACTCACCTCCACCTGCTGCAGGGCGTCCTCCGTGTCTCCCACCTCAGACGTGGAGATGGAGGGGTAGTTGGAGTCCGATTCTAAGCTACTTTGGTTGGACGGGTTCCGCTTGTGGCCTGGGGTTTGCTGTTTCAGGAGACAAATGTGAAAAGTGAAAATGAGCTAATGTGCTAAGAACTGTGACTTTCCACGAAAGGAGGCGCTGGAGGTAGACTCTGCCTCGCTGGTGAGCGCTGGGTTCCCTGGTCTCTTAATGAAACGCAAGCCCCACCGAGGCCAGCCTCTCCAGGGAGGTCCCTCTTTCCCCCATCCTGTGGAAAGAGCACAGTCCTGTCCCGGGACCCCGCCCCCAAACCTGCCCTCAGACCCCACATCAACCTGCCTCCACCAACCGGCTTATGAAAACCATCATCTTATTAGCAATAGAGGCTACCGTCCATACTGTTCATTTAAAAATGCCTTCCCCCCTGCAACTGATTTGGCTTTGAGAGTGGAAACTGATCTTGATAGCAACATTTTAGATTTCTATATTCCTATGCAGCTTCTCTTCATGGTTTCTACGCAATTAACTAGTCCAGTGGTCGGCAAACTCATTAGTCAACAGAGCCAAATAGCAACAGTACAATGATTGAAATTTCTTTTGAGAGCCAAATTTTTTAAACTTAAACTATATAGGTAGGTACATTGTTATTAACTTAATTAGGGTACTCCTAAGGCTTAGGAAGAGCCACACTCAAGGGGCCAAAGAGCCGCATGTTTGCCCGACCATGGAACTAGTCAGTCTTGCTTGAATGTGCATTTCTGGAGGGAGTGTTTGTAGGTGGTGAAAAACCATGACAAGTCGTGAAATATGACATTTCCACGTGGAGAGCATTTCGTCAACGATTAGGGGAAACGACCAGACGCCGGGACCTCTCAGGGTGCACTCAACCGCAGTCGTGGTCAGAACTCCCCGCTCTGTTACTAAGGCAACACGGGACGCTTCCCCAACAGGAAACGAAAGAGAACACATCCACTGACACTCCTGAGATCTCGGGGAGATCCCAGAGCCGGGAAAGGCCCCATCTGGGGCGTGACAGCCGGCCCAGTTCTCCTCTGTGATGCCTCCCAGGAAAGGCCGGGTCACGGGCACCACACAGATGCCCGAGCCTCGCGTGTCGGACGCTGCCTGGAGCTGGAGCTGCCCGAGACCATGTGGGGAAGCCGGAGGGGCAGCAGGGCTGCCCGCCCTCCTCGCCTTTATGATGGTCATCTCGTCCCGGAGGTTGTCGTATCTCTGCTCCAACCGGGAGTACTCCTTCACGAGATTCTGGTACCGGGACCGCTCCTCCTCCAGCTCCCTCTTCATCAGCAGGTTCTCCTGGGCGGAGCCGCGGGCCAAGTCATCTGGAAGTAAGACACGCATCCTTCAGAACATCCCGAACATCCCCAGGTGTGTTCTGACTCATGCTTTACGGTCAGTCTCTTGTCAAAGGCTGCTCACACCAGCCCCTGGCACAGACACGGCGAGCTAACCCAGCGCCCTCACCTGCCTCCCAGCCCGGGCAAGCTTGCTCTAGCGGCTTACGCTTTAAGGGGGGAGAAGGCCGACCTGCCCGTGGGACGTGGGGGGCAGGCCAGGCAGCACACGGGTCAGCTCCCTGGCCGGACACACCAGCGGCTGCTGGAGCATCCCTGCAAGAACCTGGGCTTTGTTCCTGATTTCTCTCCTGTTCCAGGTCTTTCTAGTTCCTGGAGTTCAGGGAGGTTCAAGGCAATAAGGCAATGAGGCCAAAGGTTAGGGGGCTTTTCTTGCACCAAAACGTATTACTTGGGGGGCAAGGGGGTGACAAGGCAACAGGGGGGAAGAGTGATCTGCTGGGGGCCACACTGAGTCAGGCGAGAACTGGGGCTGGGACCCCACTGCTCCTCTGTGGCCAAGCAGGATGTGGGGGTGACAACACCCGAGGGGCTGCTGGGTGCCTGAGACAGGTGACCTGGATGTGACCCACGACCCTCTCCTCAGCAAACGGAAACAGATGACCCCCGGGAGAAGGAGGCACGGCAGGAACGGTGATGCCAACGAGGAATTTAACAGCAGCAGCCACTCGCCCCTGAGTGCTCACTGCGTGTCCGTCACCAGCGTAAGCGGCCCGCGCGCAGTCCCTACCCCTCCCTGAGCCTCGCAGCTCTGTGCCTGGATGTCCATTCTGCAGACGGAGGGGCTGAGGACGGCACTTGCTCAAGGCCCGCAGGAGGGACCGCAGTCATTCTGAGGGCAGGCCTCCCTGACTCCAAGCCCCAGGCACCATACTGTCCGTTACCCATGTGTCTCCACGTGAAACGGAGGGCCCTCCTCCTGCACCTCCCGTCGACAGAAGCCCCTTCCCCACTGCAGCCCTGACGAACCCACGCTGGCTGGGCGCCTGGGGCGATCGCCGCGGGAAAGAGATGAAAGCTCACCGTGAAGACTCAAGCTCTTTGGAGCTTACCTTTCGACTGGCTCAGGATTTGGTGGTTAAGCTTTTCTTTCTCATCTTTCAAGAGAGCGTTTTCCTGCTCCAGGTCTGCGACGCGCTGAAAGAGAGGATCACAGAGCACGTGTTTCCCCAGAAGCGGGCAAAGGCGAGGCTCCTTTTGTGGGGTCTGACTTTCAGCTGGTTGAGTTCAAATGCTCTTTTGATGTAAGAAAATGGAACCAGGGAAAGGTGCTTTCCTTTCCAGGGAAAATGTGCAATGTGCAAAAGACAAAGTCCATTAACCATCTGTACACCATAAGCGTCTACAGACACAAGCGGAGGACCTTTTTAATTAAATTCAAAATATCGTGGCAGTTAACTGGTTAAAACAAGACAGTGGCGCTCATCACAGTTTAGGGTCTCCCGGTGCCCACAAAACCCTGGTGCGAAGTCTGCTCCGAGCTCCCCTGCCTTGCTCAGGCCCTCGGCAAGATCCCAGTTAGCTTTACTGCAAAAACTGACAGGCTGATCTGAATAATCACATGGAATATCTAGGGATCCAGAACAGGCAAAATAATCTTGAAAAAGCACTAGAGAATTCATATTTATAATTTTAAAACTTACTACAAAACTATAGTAATAAGACAGTGTGAAGCTAGCATAAGAAGAGACACAGGGATCAATGGCAAGAACTGAAATCCAGAAATAAAGCCCACATTATAAGTCAATAAGGAAAGAAAATTTTTTTTCAACAAACGTGGCTGGGACAACTGGATTTTCACAAACAAAAGAATGAAATCGAACTCCTACCTCACACCACATACAAAAATAAGCTTAAAATGTTCCAAAGACCTAAAGGTAAGAGTTAAAACCATAAAAACCTGAAGGAAACATAGAAGCAAATCCTTGTAATCCTCCAGGAGGCACGTACTACATACAAAAATCATTCTTTAAGTGCATCTAATGTGCTATTGTTGGAGGCAGTTCACCCCCAATGGCTTCATGAGCGCCTTCAAATTAGTTTGGCAAATCATCGGAATAGCTTGCATTTTCCTTTCCTAGATGCCCAAGCCAAGTCACGGAAAACAGTGACAGAAGCATCCACGTAGGGGGTACCTTCCACATGGAGCCTAGAGTGGGGCCTGAAGGTCAGGTGGCCAGGAACAGGCTGTCCCCCTGACCTGGCTGACCTCCGGGCCGGGGGTGATGTCACAGCAGGCTGGGAAGGACGCGAGCACGGAACTGGGACTCTGCTTCCCCTAACCGCGCTCTGAGCAGGCAGACGGCTCACCACGCAGGTGTCACCTGAGAAGGCTCCCCAGGTGTCCCCCTCCCCCCACCCCGTCCTCATCACTGTCCTCTGGGCACCCTGAGGACAGTCACATCCCTTGGAAATGGAACACATCCTCCGACCAGTCAGCCAATGCCTCACCACTGGGTGGGACACGAAGCTCCATTCCTCCCAGTGCACCCGGCATCACCTCACTTCCCTGCAGCCGCCGTGGTCCAGGACCTCTGCCCAGACTGCCGTCGGGGAGACCCAGGTCAGCGCACGCCCCGGGAGTCCTCTCTGTGTGGAAGCCTCATTTCCTCCCCCACCTCCCGCCAGGCTGATGCGCGGAGGCTGGTGGCCAAGGCGCTGGCACTGCTGTTCTGAGCCATACATCAAAGTGGCACGGGGAGCGTTGCCGTTCCTTCTGCCTGAGCGGTTCTGGAGGTGGGCCCAGAGCCTGCGGTTGGTCCGGCAGACAGACAGCAGGAGGGACGGTTCCACCCTCGGCTCTGCGTCCCGGGGGGCAGACAATGCTTCCCCAGTCACACCTCCCGGGCACTGGCCACCTCGCCTTCCCAGCTGCCTGGCGTGGGAGGGGTGCTGGCAGACAGGGCAGGTGACAGACTTCTGCAGCCAAACAGCCCCCCTTTGCGAGCTGTCAGGGATGCGGACAGCAGAAAAGGACACTTAACAAGAACCAGGAACGTTCCCCTCAGCAGGATAAGTGGTGGTGGGGGGTGAGGGCTTGACTCTCACAGGCAGTATTCCTGGGAGTGTCTCCTCCTCTCAAAGGTGACCTGGGACAGACCACCAGAGCCAACGCTGGGCAAACCTGCTACTGTCAGGCTCACGGCGCCCGGGGAAGTGAAATGAAACGAATGTCCCGCCTCTCCCAGCTCATCTCTGGGGACACAGATGGAGCGCTGGGCTTTGTTTTCTCTCGACTTAATCTTTTCAAGTTCGGTGTTTGCACTGGAGAGCGAGCCAGATGCAAAGGAGCTGGCAGACGCCGTGGAATGAACAGCTGGACGCTGACGGTCAGGAAGGCTCACCGGCCACGGTTGTGACCGCGTCTTAGATGCCGCGCACCTACCACCCAGCAGACAGGACAGGCCCAGGGGCCCTGGCCTCCCGCAGCCATGGCAGGGCAGCCGCAGCCTGACAATGAGGACTGTCACGGTGGGGAGCCCCAAGTTCCCGGATGCCGGTTCTGACACAACATGTGCCGACAGAAATTCCAAATCCATCCGTCAAACATCCCCCGGCAGTCGGCTTGCTCAGAGCCGAGCAGGCCCTGGACAAGCCAGGGGAACCGCCGTCTGGTTACTCAGCATTTGCCAGGATCGAGCTCCGTGCCTTTGATAAACATGAAGCCCTGCCTAGGCTCTGAAGGTGGAGGGGGAAACGCCAGCCGCCCCTCACACCCCGGCCTCAGGAATAAAGAGGCTCTGGAGGCCCTAGAGAAGGGATACATTCTGCTTCCACGTTTTTCTCTTCCTGGAGGGAGGCGGACATTGCACTTAATGAATCGTCTTATGCCCGTGTGTGCTCCTGGTACCAGCTTGGGACCTGCACGTTTGGCGTCAGGGAAGGTGCCTCGCCGGTTCTGCCTCGGCATTAACTGTTCCCATGCTCGCAGCGTCCTCGAATTTCCTCTTCCTGCCAGTTCCAGACTCTCATTGTCTGTAAGACCTAGCTCAATGCACTCCTAGGACACAGTAACACTTTTTTTAAAGGAGAGGGGCAGGGTGTCCATTTCTCCATTTTGCTCTGCCCAGGGAGATTTTTGGAAGAAACCGCAGGCTCCCCTGGATGGAGATGTGGATGTTTAAAAGTGTGCTGAGCCCTGGCTGGTTTGGTTCAGTGGATAGAGCGTCAGCTTGCAGACTGAGGGGTTCGGGGTTTGATTCCGGTCAAGGACTAGATCTCCAGTAGGGGGCGTGCAGGAGGCAGCTGATCAATGACTCTCTCTCAATATTGTGTTTCTATCTCTCTCTCCCTCTCCATTCCTCTCTGAAAGCAATAAAAATATTTTTTTTAAAAAGAGTGTGCTGAGCCCCCAAGTCACAGTGCCCTGGGGCAGCCAGGCAGGAGGCTGGGGGTTGAGTCAGGGTTCTCTGTGGGGTGGAAACGGGAGACCCCATGTTGTGGATCTGCTGGGTAAATGGGTGTCCTGTGTCATATCTGACTGGCCCCCTGAGGGGACCCCCTTTTCCATTTCTCCCAGCGGCACCAGTCTTAAGTCTCCAGTTCTAACCTGGCCTTCTCCTGCCTCGACGCCCCTTCTTGTTTTTATCCACGTGGAAGGGTTACCATCCACCTGTTCCTAAGGGTCAATGGACAACAGGTGCCATGGGTGGCAGGTGACGGGCTGTGGTCCCGTGTTCCCAGCACAACACACTTCACCCCAAAGGATGGAGTGGTGCGTCAGTCCCGTCACTGTGGAGTGTGGGAGAGAGGACCCCAGGGTCCCGGGTTCGTGGAAGCCCTCTGGGAGTGGAGACGGGAGTGTTCGCATCCTGACTTTGGAGACGGGTGTGGGGGTCCATCCCAGGAAGATCTATCTTATGGGGCAGAGAGCGCAGCTGCGAGCACCCCAACCAGAGTGGGCGAGTCAGACGGAAACCATCAACACTGGGACGTGGCAAACTCCTCAGTGGCGAGGACTGAGGACGCACAGGGGCGCGTGGAGGCTGCCTGCCAGGCCTGCAGAAAGCCACTACCTCTGCACGTCCCCCTGCCAGCGAGGACTCAGGCCGCGGGGCGGACGCGGAGACCCCAAAGCCAGCGTGTGCGCCCCTCAGCTCATGGCAGAAACTCACCCAGGGCTGAGGGCGCCTGACATCGAGCACAGAGGGACGTCAGCATGAGACAGCCCCCAGGAGGCCACCCCACAGCGTGAAGGAGCATCGCCTGGAGGGGACGCGCGCGGCCAGCCCCTGCCCACCGGCCGCGCCTCGGCCCATCCTGCCACTGTACCTTCCGCAGCTCGTCGTTCTCCCGGCTGTGGGCGTCCTCCAGGATCTTGCGCTCCGAGTGGGCCCTCTGCAGCTCCGTCCGCAGGCTCTCCACCTCCTCCTGCAGCCGCAGGCCCACGTCCCCGCCGGGGCTCTGCTGGTAGTGGGCCAGCTCCTTCCTCAGCTTCGTCACCTCCATGGCGTGGGCGGAGGCGGCCGCAGACAGCTGCTCCGACAGCGTCTTGAACTCTTTGTTCTGGGGGAGACACAGGGAGAGGGGAGACAGAGGCGGAGAGCAGCATTATCTGGCCGGAAAATACACGAAGGCGATTAGAAATAAAAAGGACGGTTCAAGGTGGAACTAAACCTCACAGTCCCTGCATGCTCGTGTGCCTCCTGGCATGCACCTGACAAAACTCTTTGTGGCGCGGGGAGAGCGAGAGGGAAACAGAAATCACCAGCACGGATGCTCAGGGGGCGTCCCGGGCAGTGGGGTGCTGAGCCGGCGGCAGTTGGCTTTCCACGCCCGCGGGACAGACCGTGGGCCTGGTGTTCAGGTTGTGGGAATGGCGCAGCTGCTTCCCGGTCCTTCGTGGCTCTGCAGGATTCCCTGCTGTCACCCTGCCCTCCTACCCTGGGGCTCGCGGCACAAAGAGCTGCAACCTAATCTCTGGCTCGAGACAAAGGACCCCTTCCCGCCCTCTCCCAAGGAGGCCCCAGGACCCCTCACCACCTGTCAGCTTGCCCTGCAGGGCTCCGGCTCAGAGACCGAGGCCCTGGCAGAACCGTCCAGGCCGCACCCCACAGGTCACGTGTCCCCTCAGTGAGAAGCACTCGCCCCCATGGGCCTGGTGCAGGTGTGGGGGGCCAGGGACATGGACGCTGGCTGAGCTCACGTGGAGGGAGCACTGAGGGCCCAGGCCAGTGTCGTGCACCTGTGCAAACACGGGCAAATTGGTGCTGCAGGAGCTGAGTGTCAGGGGGCAACGTGGAGAGAGAAGTGGGGCTCCCCACACACTCAGCAAATAGTCACAATGACTGCCCATGGGAGCGCCACGGAGAACAGAGCTACTGGCTAAAACACCAGTAAGCTGGGCATCAGGAATCAATGTTCACTGACGCCAGAAATTAAGCTCCACGGAAAGCAGTGAGGAGAACAGCTGTTGGACCCATTCACTGCCACGCCCGCCATGGGACCTCATGCCTGAGACGCCCCTTCCTCAGGGCAGCGCTGCACCCGGGCTTCCGGGCAGGTGAGCTGGACTGGAGCGCTCTTGTGCCCACAGCCAGCTACCCTGCGCATGGTTCAACCCGACAAGCTATACACAAGAGCTTCGTGGTCCCCGGCCGGTGGGGAGGGAGGAAAACCATCACAAGACAGTATGCAATATGAGAAGCCACACATTCCACACTCAGCACCAGCACTCAGTGGGGCGCCTGCTATGGGGCAGGCTCTGTACTACGTGAGTTCATGTATTAACCCACTCACTCCTCAGAAAACCCGTATGTATAAGGCTGACTCACAGTCCCATTTCACAGCTGAGGAAACCAAGGCACAGGAGCCAAAAGCTGTGACTTGTCACACAGTTTTTCAAATGTAGATGGACGCCTTTGTAAGTCACAAACATCAGCTAATTTAACATATTTACTGAGTGCGTGCTATGTGTACTGAATCAAATTGATTCACAAGGCTACTGACTGAATCCATGTTTGTGTGGGTTTTTTTTCAGATAAAATATATTTAAATATAGCCATATATTCGTAAAGGTCTAAGAAACTTGACCTTCATTATAAAAAATTATAGGTGTGTGCTGGCCAGTGTGGGTCAGTGGGTTGGGTGTCATCCTGTGCCCCAAAAGGTTGCCAGTTTGATCACCAGTCAGGGCACATGCCCAGGTTGGGGGCTCAATCCCCAGTAGGGGGCATGCAGAAGGCATTCCATCAGTGTTTCTCTCTCCCTTTCTCCCTCTCCCTTCCTCTCCTTCTCCCTTCCTCTCTCTCTAAAAATCAATAACAATATTTTAGAAAATACTTATAGATGCAACTGGCCTAGTCACTCTACATGTTGTGCTTAAAGCAAAGCCGGAGTGGTAGAAAGCTGAGTTCATAGGTTACAACATTTTGGCTGAAAAATGTCACACCACAGGCTTCAACCAGGGCTGCTGTAAACAACGGTGGTAGAAACGGTCGCTGTATTCATTGCTGAAGGATACTGCGAAGGAGGTGGCTCATTTACTTCACGTGCCATAAAAACCCACAGGAAGCATCAGCACCAAGGACAGCGCCAGCCCCCCCCCCCCCCCCCCCCCATCCTCCTCCTTCTCCTCCAACTCCTGGGTGACCCCACTTCCCTCTGCCTGTTGTTTCCTTGGAGCTCGGAGCCAATGTTGTGTTTCCCTAGTTGAGACATGAGCTTTGGGTGCCAGCCTTGCCCTGGGTTTACTTTTCAGTTCACTCCCTTGCTGATGTCTTGGCGGTGGGGATATGGTTTGAAAGTGTCCCCTCCCCCAAGAGTGGGAATCACTCCTTTAGCCACATCCTGGCATCATGCATGCCTGAGATCTAGGCCGATCCCCCTAATGAACTCAGGGCTCAACTGGAGATTGGCCATGACCCCAAACTGTCAGCTCTGGGTGCAGGTATAACAGACAGAACTCAGGGCTCCCTCCATCCAGCTGGGAGTTCGTCCACGACCCTGTGCTGCTGTGAAAAATACTTTGAGACGCTTCGCCTAAGTCAGTGATGGCGAACCTATGACACGCGTGTCAGAGGTGACACGCATAATCATTTTTTTGGTTGATTTTTCTTTGTTAAATGGCATTTAAATATATAAAATAAATATCAAAAATATAAGTCTTTGTTTTACTATGGTTGCAAATATAAAAAAATTTCTATATGTGACACGGCACCAGAGTTAAGTTAGGACTTTTCAAGATGCTGACATGCTGAGCTCAAAAGGTTCCCCATCACTGGCCTAAGTCGTCTCCAGCACACGTGTGTCCTCTCCTCTGCCTTAGGAACCTTGTGTATCGGAGGGGCAGCCTGAGTTGTTCCAGGCATCACAGAAGGAATAAGAACCGTCCATTCCAAATGGCTGGCCCTTCTGCTAAGAGGCTGTGATAACTCACGAACCTCTGAAGAGCTGGTGCCACGGATGACACGGATGCCCCCTCCCACAACAGAGGGCCACGCGTGTTCCATGACGCCGGGTCACACGCCTGCTGTGAAAGGCCAGCCAGCCCAAGGACAGTATTGTCTGCACTGGTTGGAGGCAGCAGAACATGCCGTGGGACTAGGTGGCCAAAGTTTCGTGCCAGTCGTGCTACTTACTCGCTGTGTGACCTTGGGCAGGCTCCGTAACCTCCCCGTGCCTCAGTTTACCATGTGAACAATATCAACATTATCTCACAGGGTTATGGTGAGGACTTAGTGAGTTCATATATGAGGGCAGCGACTGGCGCACAGTCGGGCAACATGGGGAGGGGTACAGGGAAGCA